ATCATCTTTGCCAATCTGATAGATGTGAGGTGGAACTTGAGTTGCTTGAATTTGTATTTCTCTGATTATTACTGATCTAGAACTTGTTTTTTTTTCTTCTGGGTGTTGATAGCTTGGATCTCTTCATTTAAGAACTATTCATATCCTTTATCCATTTATCTACTGAGGAATAGCTCTTAGTTTTTATAAGTTTGAATCACTTTCTTATACATATTGGCTACAAGATCCTTTGCAGAGAAACTTGCTGTAAATACTTTTCCCAGCTATCTCTTTCCACTCTAATTTTAGATGATTTAGAGGTGATTTTTTTGCCTCTGTAGTTATAGGTAGAATGGGCCATCCTGTTTAGACTTCTGAGACATCTAGGGTGCCACATGAATACTTTCTGTCTGTACTGTTACTGTGATAGCACTGAATTTTTGGAGCTGGCAGAGACTTCAGGGAATCTTATGTCTAACCCTTTAATTTTGTTTTTTTTTTTATTATGAACTTGACAATCATTCACAAATATGAACATTTCCATAAACAAAGTAGAAAAAGGGAATTGCATATGAAATCATGAATCTATTACAGATAACTTGTTTTGAATAAACATCAACTTTCACAAGATAGTACCAATGCTCTCCTTCTCTGTGTCTTCTTTTAAATTTCTTTTGGCTTCTGTGTAATTTTTTTGTGCGTGTGTTTCATGGACACTTTTCTTTCATTTCTTTTTTTTTTCCATCATTATCATTATTTCCTATTCTCAGCTTCCCAATTTCCTCCTCTTCCAAGAAAAGCTAAGCCTTGTAGCAAATTAACATAAGTAAGCAAAACAAATTTATTTTCCTGCTTTCTGTTGTCTCCTGGATTTACATTTATGGATCCTATCCAGACCTGATATTCTCATCACACATGCTTGAAAGTCCTCTCTTCTATTAGAGGCCTATTTTTTTTTTTTACCCTGTTGGATTACACTCAGCTTGGTAAGCCAAGTTACTCTTTGCTGTAAGCCTTCATCTTCTTCATTTATGGTAGGTGTGGCATAGTCTTCCTGATCATGACTGTGGTACCTGAACTCTTTCTTCCTGGCTGCTTATGGTATGGAATTTTTTGTTTTGTTTTGCTTTGTTTTAAAGCAGAACCTCTGGCTTTTGGGCTACAACATTCCTGATTCTTTTCAATTTGGGGTTTCTTTTAGGAGGTAAGTAGTACACTCTATATATTTTCACTTTGCCCTCTAGTTCTAATAGGCCTGGGCAGTTTATCTATGATTCTTTGAAATACGGAAAAGGCCTTTTTCATTGCGTGTTTTATGTAGCCAATGATTCTTAGATGACGTCTCCTGGATTTGTTTTTTAGGTCAGTTCTTTTTGGCAGAAAGTGCCTTATATTTTTCTTTAAAATTTTTTGACCTTTTGACATCATTTTAATATTTTTGTTGTGTCATGGAGTTTTTGAATTCTAATTGCTCCTATCTCATTTTTCAGGGTGTTCACTATTTTTATAAGGTTTTCCATCTTCTGTTATTTTCTTTTCATTTTCCCCCTCCAGAACACATTTAATTTTTTTTAAATATCTTGCTTCATTTTTTTCTAGATTCTCTTGGAATCCCTTGGGGCCAAGCCTTTTTTTTTTTTTATTTGAAGTTATACTTGAATGTGTTGGAAAGTTACCAACTTCTTCTGGATTTACCTCCCAGGCATAGTATTTCTTTCTTGTATTTAGTTTTTTCTTCTGTCTACTTATATTTCCAGCCTCACTTTCTGGATTGGGACTTTTTGTTCGGGTCAAACCGGTCTCTCATATTTTGATGTGATGGGCAAAGAAATGATGATGAGGCCTGCTTGATCCCATCCCTTTTGCAGTCTGGATGCTCAGTTCCCTTAAATTACAGAAGCAGGGCACTTCTAGAAGGTCATAATGCTAAGGGCAGAACTAGAATTAGAATCAAGGGACTCTTGAAATCCAGTCCAATGCAGTACCACGTTTTCTTTTACTGGAATTTGTGGAACAATTTCCAATATGACCAAGTGTGAAGGCAAGGTGATAAAGGGGTATGTAAGAATATGAATGAGCATATACAGTCTTTGCACAGATCCATGTGTGGTCAGGGGCAAGAGAAGTTGGCCAAAGAAAGAATGGGTCACCGCCTGTTGTATCCTTGTTAAGGAGCTAACTTTTTATTATTCCATGCTAATAACAAGTGATACGTGTGTTGCATTTGAATTTGGTGGACTTGGGTTCAAATCTTGGTTTTAGGTGATCTTAAAGGATAATGGCAGCTCATGATATGGTGTTTTAAAGTTTCCAAAGCACATTGCATTTATTATATCATTTTGTCCTTGCAACAACTGTGCAAGGTAGGCAGTACTTTTAATCCTCATTTCAGAGATGGAGGAACTGAGACTGAGAGGTTTTGTGACTTGCCAGGGTCATTCGATATCCAAGAAAGGCACACCACGCTATCTCTGAAAGTCACTTACCTCTCCCTGGGCCTCAGTTTCTTCATCTGCAAATTGGGGATGAGAATAGTACCTATTTTACAGACTTATTGCAAGGATGAGATAAGGAAATGTGCTTTGCAAACTCTGTAAATTCCAATGAGGGAGAGCACAGTAGTGTACTGGATTGGATTTCAGGAGACCTTGGTTTCAAATCCTGGCTCTGCCACTAACTGGGTGGTTTTATAGAAGCCCCTTCCTCTCTTTGGGCTTGTTTTCCTTCTTTGAAAAATGAGGGAGTTGGGCATCCAGATTATGGAGGAGATAGGACCAAGCATTGGACTGTATCACCTACCTCCCTGAGTTACTTTGAAGATAAAAATGGGATCATATTTCTAAAGCACTTACTGCAGTGCCTGGCCCATAGTAGGGGTTAATGCTAGTTGTTATTTATTATTATTATTATTATTATTATTATTATTATATTATTATTATTATTATTACTACTACTATTAATTCTGATGCACTTCAGATCCCCTTTCATGCTCTGTGCTGAAGGTCCATCAGGCTCTTTCCATGGAACTCCAGATAGAGTCCAGGCACTGCAGGGGGGAAGGAGAAATGGACTGTCAAAGGTGGGGAAGAGGTTCACAGGGAGCAGCAGTACCACTCTTCCTGGCGGGGTGAGGTTGATCTAGTCAGGGAGGGCACAGAAAGCCAAGCAGCCCCTCCTAGGGGCAGGCAACAGTATGGCATGGGGAAATGGAGGTGGCTCAGGCCCGCCCCTGACTCTGCATTTGACCTTATAAAACCCTTCTGCTTCACTGTTGGCCTTTTCACCTCTTCACCTCTTGATGACCCCAATTCTCCTCCCCCACCCAGGCCCCTTGCTTTCCTTAATGCTCATTGGAGCTTTTGCATCAGCTGTTGCCTCCTCAATGAGACCTGGTCTCTTTCCAGGATTGTTACTTGTTTTGGTCCTCTGAAGTGAACCTTTCACAGGGTCACAGATCTGGCAGCAGAAGGTTCCTGAGGGACTGTTGCTGAAGATACTATTGAGAGTTGCTCCGGTAAGTGCCAGGGCCTCAATTCAGGTAAATACTTTAGAGCTAAATTGTGGAAGACCTTTGAATTCTAACACAGAGAATTTCTACTTTTATTTACTTATATATTTATTTAATTATTTACTGTTTGGTGAGGCAGTTGGGATTAAGTGACTTGCCCAGAGTCACACAGCTAGTGAGGGTTATGTGTCTAAGGTTAGATTTGAACTCAGGGCTTCCTGAGTCCATGGCCAGTGCTTTACCGACTGTACCACCTAGCTGCCCCCAGAATTTTTACTTTTAAAAAAGTGTCAGAGAATCATAGATTGCTAGGTTTAAAAAAAAAAAAACAGCTCATTGTAATGGCTGCTGTGCCCATATTTGGCATCATGAAAGGTCTTGGAAAGGTCTTCTGCCTGTTTGCTGCCCAGGAGACAGAATTGGAACTTACTAATTTCATTGGTGGAAGATCCCCCAACTGCACCCAATTGGTTAACTGCAAATAGACTCCGCCTATACCCTATCACAGGAAGGAAGTTACACTGATCCAGACGGGGAGAGGACCTCTTGGTGGCAACACCAAGGGTAGGCAGGCTCTTCAGTTTTTTATTTTATCCAAAGGCCTGATTTCATCCATCTAGCGAATTGCAGGTGAAAAAAACCCCTCCACCAACAGCAGGTAGGCAACTGAGGGTCTTCTATCTTACTGAGGGTGATTTCTATCTTAGAATCGTCTGGGTATATTAAGGTGTTAAGGAATTTGGCTGGGGCCGTAAGGAGGCCACTGGGAGGCAGTGCATAGAACACTGGGTCTAAAATCAGGAAAATTTGAATTCAAAATCTGGCCTTATGTTATAGCTGTATGACCCTAGTCAAGTCACTGAACTTCTAAATAAGAATAATAGTAGCACCTGCTATGAAGGGTTGTTGGGAGGATCCAATGAGTTAATATTTGTTAAAAACTGCTTAGCACAGTGCCTGGCACATAACCAGTGGAGGAATTTTGAATCTGCTTTCCCTCCTTCCCATCCCCCCCTCCCCCATCCTAGCAGTTTTTCCCTCCAACTGCCTCTTTACTGCACTGTGATGGAGTCAGGAAGTGACTTCTGCTACAGTAGAAAGCATGTTTGGAACCAGAAGCCCTGAGTTCCATTCCCAGGTCTATTACCTGATGCCTCTGTGACTTATTCAAGTCCTTTAATGCCTCTGTGCCTCAGTTTCTTTATTTGTAAAATGAAGGAGTTGGATTAGGTGACCTCTTAGAACCCTCCATATATGATCATGTGTTCCCTATAAAAGAGCTCACTTTCCCCTACAGGAATTAGCATGGAAGTTACTGTGCTATAATAGCCCTGTGAGCACCAGGAAGCCTGGGGTAGAGCTCCAGTTTTTCTACTTACTCCTTGTGTGACCTGCAGGTCACATGTCTAATGGGTACTGGTACAACCTGACCTCGGGGTGAGAGCATTTCCACAGTTGCAACTATGTTTCCTTTGAACCTCACGCTCTCTGTTCTGTTACCTTATCCTTTCAGAGCCCACAGCAGTCCAGAGGAGCAGGAGGGAAGAAGAAAATCTCTCATGTCTTCAGGTAGGTGCTCTCAGGGCTCCCAAGACATAAGGACATAAACATGGGAAGAAGTGGGAAAAGAAGGTCAGAGTAAGACTGCAGCCTCAATGGACTACAGTCCCTGGTCACATGTCACAATGACCAGCAACTTCAACTGCTGCATGTGGAGACGACTTAGCATCACTGAGCATAGCTTGTGACCTTTTCACCTCGAACAATTGTTGGGATTTGGGGATTACACAAAGATATGCCAGGTGCTCAAATACAAGTATGAAACTGAGACAGTCTCCACCCTCAGGGGGCTTATGTTTTAATGGGAGAAGACCATGCATGTGGGGCAGCTGAGGTCAAGAGAAGGAGCTTGGATCAACAGTTGTTAGTGTTGATTTCATTAGTGTTTCCAGGACAAATTACAAGGGTGGAGATGGGGAAGCAGATTCATTCATGGAGCAGCAGGGTGGCCTATCCTGTGGTATTTTCTCCCTCCCACACACACCCTTATCCTCTCAGGGACAGTGCTGGAAACCAGAGAAATTTTGAGGCTTCATAAATTTGCCTAAAAAGTAAGTTCATATGCTGTGACCTGCAAGTCAGCACCTGTAAAACTCAATTTTGCATATGCATGCACCTGACGTTATTGCAGAAATGCAAATCTTACCTCCAGTTCTAAGTTACACAGACTTTGAGCCCTCACAAGACTGACATCTTTGCTAGAAAAGTTACTTGGTACAAAAGCTTTCAGAGCCTCATAGGGTTAGAACACTGGCACTCAGTATTATGATGCTGGTCCAACAAACTCAGGAACTATATGAACACAATTACAAAACACTTTTCACACAAATAAAGTCATGGTAAATGTGGTTATTTAGATCTGACTATTTCCTATAAAGAGCTCCTATAAACCATTTTGGAGAGCATTTTGGAACTATGCCCAAAGGGCTATAAAAATGTGCCTATCCTCTGACCTAGTAGCACTCCTAGGGCTGTATCCCAAAGAGATCATACAAATGGGAAAAAGATCCACATGTACAAAAATACTTATAGTGGCTCTTTTTGTGGTGGCAAAGAATTGGAACTTGAGAGGATGCCCATCCATTGGGGAATGGCTGAACAAGCTGTGGTATATGAATGTAATGGAATACTAGTGTGCTGTAAGAAATGATGAGCAGGCAGACTTCAGAAAAACCTGGAAAGACTTGGATGGTCTGATGCTGAGTGAAGTGAGCAGAACCAGGAGAACACTGCACACAGTAACAGTGATGCTGTGCCGTGACTTAACATTGATAGACTTAGCCATTCCCAGCAATGCAAGGATCTAAGACAACTCCAAAAGTCAAGAACTATGGAGTTTGAATGCAGATTGAAGCATACTATTTGCTTTTTTCTTTTGTGTTTTGTTTTGTTTCCTCTTTCTTGTGTTTCCTTCTATTGGTTCTAATTCTTCCTTACAATATCACTAATGTGAAAATATGTTTAATAGGAATGTATATGTATACCATTTTTGAACAATTATTGGGAACACATGAGCGTTAAACAGAAAATCAAGTCAAGCCCTGCTCTTTAATTTGGCGCAGCAAGGCCACTGTCCCTCAAGTGAGGTAAACTGAAGTCCTTCTGTTAATGAGACTCTTTATTTTGTCTCTGGCTGCTTTGGAGCCTCAGGATTTGAACCATCACTGAGCCTGACTCAGTGACGATTTCAACAATAAGGAAATAAACACTCTTCCTAAAGTGCCCAGGCCCCCAATTTGCTCCCCTACACTGATTGCAGATCCTATGGTGCCATGAGGGAGGCAGCATGGTGTACTAGCACAGGAAGTACCCTCAAGTTCCAATTCTTTGCCACCACAAAAAGAGCCGCTATAAATATTTTTGTACATGTGGATCTTTTTCCCATTTGTATGATCTCTTTGGGATACAGCCCTAGGAGTGCTATTGCACTACCAGGTCAGAGGATAGGCACATTTTTATAGCCCTTTGGGCATAGTTCTGCCACTTAGGACTAGCTGTGTGACCTTGGCCAAGTCACTTCTGCTCTGGGCTTCAGATTCCTCCTCTTGGGCTAGGTCACTTCCAAGGCTCCCTCTGGTTCTAAACCTGTCGCTTTCCATCTGTCATTTCTATATTACTCAAGTGAATGAGATGATAATGGGACACAGGCTAATTGGAATATTGTGCCAGGATTCCCCCACCCCCACATCCCTCTAACCAGGAAATGGGTTAACTGGGAAATGGCTAAAAAAGGGCTCTAGGAGGGAGGAGAGAATAGAACACACCTTCAACTTGAATCTGTGTTATGAACGTTTTATCCATCACTTTCTTGTCCACACAATCAACGAAACAAGAAATCACACCCTGATTTGTAACATTTGCCAATTTTCCAGATGTAAATGCTCACAAAGTTTAACAGTTTTCTCTCTTACTGTTTGAGCTGGCTCCAGCATCCTCCCTCCATCAACCCTGCCCTATAGGCTGAGCCCCACTGAGAAAGCAGGGAGGTATCATGAGTAACATTCAGTACAAGTGTGGCCATGGGTATGTATACACATACACACAAACACATATGTGCACACACGTATATACACACATACACATAAACACATGTATGCACACATGTATGCATACACAGAAATAGATACGTAGATATGCATGCATAAATATGTATATATAACAGATGCACACATAAATATGTATACATACACATACAAACACACATAAATACATGTACACATATATATACATACATGCATAACACGTACATGCATAAATATGTATGTATCACATAAATATACATATAATACCTATACAACTTATGAATTGTGTAAAATGTTTTAGAGTTTGCAAAATACCTTATAATTGTTAGCAAGTCTGAGCCCCATGATATCCTTCAGATATAGGGGTTTTTTTACTTATGTCACTGACATAATACAGTCCTGGTGAAGAACCTTAGTCTAACAATACTGATCAGTACCTATTCTGCACCTTCGAGTCTTCAGGAGGCCCGTGAGGCACAGAGTTGTTAAGTGATTTTCCCAGAGTCACAGAGAATATATCAAGGCTAGGACTTGCCCAGGTCTTCCTATCATTTGCTCGGAATGCTTTCTGCCAAGCAGCCTGTAATACTGAAGCTACAATTATCCCCATTTTTCAGAAACTGAGGTCAAAAGGTAAAGGTACTTGCCTAGGGACATACAACTATTAATTAGCAAAGGCAGGATTTAAAGCAAGGACTCCCTGACACTATGTTAATAGTTCCCAAGCATAGCAAGGCATTGGTCTTCCTGATGTATCCACTCCAGCCCCCAGGGAACGTCACTCTATTTCCAGCAGCTGAATTCCTCACTGGATCCTGGTCCTTGGGTGGCCTAATCCTGATCTCAATTTTGCTGAATTCCCTGATGCTAAGAGGCTACACCCAGATTTTCCCCACATTAGCATCAATAACCAGAATCTCAGCCAGTGAAGTTTTCAACTTGTTATGATAAAGAACCTTTTACAATATCCGGATCATTGCTTGAGGATGGCATCTGTGTTATGTGAGTTTTATTGTTCAGTCATTTCAGTCCTAGACAGCCCTCTGTGACCCCAATGGGGGTTTTCTTGGCAGAAATATTGGAGCAGCTTGCATTTCCTTCTCCAGCTCATTTTCCAGATGAGGAAACTGAGGTAAACAGGGTGAAGTGACATGCCCAGGGTCACACAGCTAGTAAGTCTGAGGTTGAGAAGAAGAGGATTCCCGACTCCAGGCCCAGCACTCTATCCACTGCAGTGCCGCCCAGCTGCCCTGTTATCTAAGTGCATATATACGTTTTCATCTGGCAAGAGCAAGGTGCCTGAAGAACAGGTTTTCCTGTACAGAAAAATGAACTTAGGATGGCAGCTTGGCATAGCAGATGACATGTTGCCTCAAAAGTGGGAAAACACGAGTTAGAACCCAGCCTCAGATACTTACTAGTCATGTGATGATAACTTTGCCTTTTAGCTTCTCTTTGCTGGTCTGTAAAATGGGGATCATTCCTGCAAGTCACTATTTCCCAAGTGGGTTGTGAGGCTCAAAGGAGGTGACCTGTATAACACCCTTTGCTATCTTTAAAGCACTATCCATAGAAGAGCTAGCTGTTGTTCTTGCCAGACCCTTCGAGCCCCTGGAAAATGTGTGTGGAAGTTGGTTCATGGTGAAAAACTCTGAGTTCCTGTCATCTGTAAAAGCCCGTGCCCCCAAATGCCTACCACTCTCTGCCAGTGGTCCATCCAGGAGATGTTCTTTGGCTTACCAGGCTCTCGCTTTCCCCTAGGCACAGGTGCAGAAGCACCTGGAAATTCCTTCAGCACAATGGACATCCAACCTTATCAAGACAAAGACAATCCGAGTATAGGTGAGTTTATCTTTAGAATGCACTTGTTTGCTGTCTCCTTTTCTAAGACGTTTGCTTCACGGCCATTGATATTAAGTGAAAACTGGCTGGTAATGCAAAATCAGTCTGGAAAGATTCATTGGAGCCAGATTTGGAAGAGCTTCAGATGCCAAACCGAGGAATGTGTATTTTTCCCACAAGGTAGTAAAGAGAACCTGAAGTTCCTTGAGAATTGGACAGATGCCCACTTTACAGGTAGCAGTTGGGCAGGTGTGTAGAGGATGGTTTAGAGAGGGGAAGAGGCTAGAGGCAGGGAGACCTATTAGGAAGTTACTGCAATAGATCGGGGGAGAGGTGATGAAGGCTAGGATGGGGGGAGAGGGGATCTTCATTTGAGTAAAGATGTGACAAACAGGAGAAAAGCTGTGGGGGTAGAATTGATGCCAGCTGATTAGAAGTGGAGAGTGCAGGAGGACTGAGAGCTGAGGATGGCTCTGGGGTTAGAAGCCTGGATGACTAAAAGGATGGTGGTGTCTTCGAAAAATATCAAGGGAAGTTAAGAGAAGGGTGGGTGGAGTTTAGGAGAGAAGACGAGTTCTGGTTGGAATGTGCTGTGTTTCATATTTGTGGAATAGCCAGATAAAAGTATCCAGCAGACACTGGTGATGGGGGGGGTGGGGGTGGGGCTGGTGGGAGGGATGAGCACCACATATGCTGCTTAGTGGGAACCATCTGAGATGTTTATTGAATTCATGAGATCTGCTAAAATCCCCAAGAAAGTGATCACTGAGCCTCTCTGGACCCCAGTTTTCTCTTTGATAAAATAGGGACCTCAGAGTTATGAGGGAGAGAGACAGGAACTGTGACCTCACTGGTATAGATAACTGCCTTTAAACCCATTCAGGGTTGCCTAGAGTGCTGAGAGTTTCAATGACTTGCCCAGGATAACAATGCCAGGATGGGTCAGAGGGAGGATGTGGCCCCAAGGCCAGCTCTTTATCCATGAGAAAGCATAAAGTCAATGTCACTTATTCTCGAACACTGCCAGCACACAAAGTACCTGTTATGAACACCAGTGCCGTGGATCCAGGAAGGCACTTGTGCTATCTAAGTGGAACAGAAAGATGCATTTCTCTATACAGGGGACCTGACCAAGAATGAGGTGTTCACTGGCCAGGTTTCCCTATACTGGCGACGGCTTATTAAAGGAGTCAATTACAATGGATAGAATACTGGGCTTGGAGTCAGGAAGACAGTGATTTGGAAGATAGCCTCAGGTGTGACTCTGGGCAAGTCACTTCATCTCTGAGTTTCAATTTCCTCAGCTCTGTAATGGGAATGATAAAATCTGTGGTGCTTATGTCACTGGCTTGTAGGAAGGCACCAAACACAAAGTGTGGAAGCTTTATGCCCAAGAACTCATGGGTCTACAACTGTGACCACGAGCCAAGCCTTAGCAGACTTTCAAGCACCAGGTAAATGAGAGCTATCAGGTTATCTTCCTGGCCCCCAGCACCCAAGCAGGATAAAGGAAATTGGGTTCCTATACATAGCTTCAGTACTTATGTCATCTGAATTTTGAGCCTGGGAGTTGGTGTTTCCGTATTTCTCTGGGGAGTCCTGTTTCCGAATAAATGTCTCTGCCAGCCCATCTCTCTCCTCTAAGGCCTCCACCCCACAGCCTAAAGAGCCAGCCTGCTTCTAGTGACCATTAAGGTGGTGCCAAGTCCAAAGCCTCCAACCCTCCATTTCCATGGGGAGGGGGGATGCAGCTTTTGTTCCACATGGAACAAGAGAGACTATGTCAGCCCCCTACAATGTGACCATCTTTCCCAGGTGTTTTCCTTCTCTATCTTTTTACAGCCACATACGTACCTTTATTTACTACGGACCCAGTACAAACATTTACTGCTCAAGACAAGGACAGTGTGCAAACAGGTGAGGATTTCCTCATGGAGCCATTTAGAATCTTTTCTCCCTGAGGCAGGCTTCTTTACGTTTGTCGTGCCAGGTTGTACCTGTTGGTAGGCTGGTGAAGCGTAGGGACCCTTTCTCAGAATTATGTTCTTAACTGCATAACATAAAGTATATACAATTGCAAAGGAAACCAAGTATATTAAAATGTCATTGAAATACTTTTTAAAAGCAAATTCACAGAAGCCAAGTGAAAAAACTCAGCGCTAAGGATTTTGATTCAAATCTTAGCAATGTATGGAAGTCACGTGAATTACGTCTATGACCACTAGAGGTACATGGTGTCTCAATTTTGATGGAAAGATGTGCTAAAAGGAAGGTGGCATGACATTGCAGAGAGAATGCTGGACACTGAGACAGGGAGATCTGGGTACTATGACTATGGGCAGGTCACCTAATTTCTCTTAGCCTCAGTGGCCTCATCTATAAAATGAGGCCAATAGGAGCCATAGGACCAACATCAAATAAGGATCCTCAAATGAGCCAAAGCTTCTCGCAGACTCTCAAGTACCATAGAACTCTCAGTTACTGATTCATTCACTCTGCTAGCCTACAGACAAATTTTGACAGGCTATATCCTGAGTCTGCCATCTATTATGCTAGGTAGATATGCCTTCTAGCTTTGCAGCATCTGCAAACTGTTAAATATTCCTCCTGTGCCTTTAAATAAGTCACTGATAAAAATACATAATAGAATAGGTCTAAGCACAGATGACTGGGCCATGCTACTGAAGTCCTTCCAAGTTGACATGGAAACATTAATGACTACTCCAGGCAATCAGTCAGAATCTAACTGTACTAGATAAGCCCACATCTCACCATCTTCTCCACCAGAATAACGTGAAATATCGTTTCAAACTCTTTGCTCAAATCTAGGCAGACTATATACACTGGAGCGTTCCCCTTATTTTACCATTTTAGTAATAAATATTTACTTGGCCATGACCTGTTCTTGATGAAGTCATAATGGTTTGGTTTGGGGTTTTTTTTGTGATCACTGCTTTCTTTTCTAGAGATTCACTAACCATCCCTTTAGTAATATGGTTTAGAATTTCCTGGCAATCAAAGTCAACCTTCTTGGTTAGACTCTGCAGACTCCATCCTCTAACCTCGGGAAATAAAGACAGCATTCACTTTCTCCTCTAGTCCAGTCCTGTAGTAGCTTCTCCAACTCCTCCTCCCCACAGTGTGGTGAAGGAGACTTGCTCTTGGGCAATAAAGCTTCTAGTGCACGTAGAAGAGGAAAGTCTGGGCCGGTCCCTGTGCAATGTGAACCTCTTTTCCATGTGCTTTTCTTTCTCTGTTTACAGCCACATACGTACCTGTGTATACCACCGAACCGATACAAACGTATGCTTTACAGGGAGAAGACATTCTGAATGGAGGTAAGAATGCCTCTACTGAGCCACTAACCTTCTCTTTAAGGGTTTGGATTAATGGCCTCACAGTGCATAGAAATCACATGAAGCACAGTATGACACTGCATGTGGACCATTCCCCATGTACTCCAGGCATTTTTAAAAGGTGTCCTAAGTGGTGATGCAGCCTGGTATTGTGGATAGAATGCTGAGCGTGCAGTCAAAAAGACCTGGGTACAGATCTGTCCTCTGATACTTCCTAGCTAAGACCATGAGCAAGTCGCTAAACCCCTCTGATCCCCACTGCCCCGCATAGTACCTACCTCAAATGAGACAACGTATATAAAGCTGCTGCATTTTTTTGGGTAAATTTCCAGGTACCCTCTGAATGCTAGTTATTATTGCCCTACCATTTCAGCCCATGGAGTACATGCATAAGAAATTGCCAGTGATTATAAGCACTGATATTGCATCATCTTCATACTCTACCCTGGCAGTCATAATCTCTGTTCATTGCTGTGACTCTGTGTTTGCTAATATACAGTAACAACCGGCTCTCCCATCTAACTTCTCTAATTACACCCACCATTCATATCCATCCCACAGTACAAGAAGCCAGAATGCTTCGGGGCCCATGACTGAACTTAAACCCTATGCAAAAATACCAAGTCTTCCAAGCTCTCCAAAAAATATAGACACAGATGTCTTCAACTCTTGCTGTGACCTGAAACTCTTGATTCAAGCTAAGACAGAGGGAGGCTGGGCCACAATCTCTCAATCTATGTAAAGGGATTCTCCTTTCTCTAACAGGCTCCTGTGCACCCTTTTGCTCACTTGGGACAACGCAAACACATACTCTTCAAGACAAGGAGAATCAGTCTGTTGGTGAGTATTTTATTCATCCACTAGGATATTTCTCGAAGGGTTTTGATTTATAGCCTTAAAATTGTCTGAATTGCACCAACAACTCTTGCATGTGGAGCATGGCCCGATCATGTTAGAAAAGTGTTCATCTAGTTCCCCCTTCGAAATGGGGAGGTAATGGGGGCCAGTGGGGGACAGCAGGTAGAATGCTAATCAAAGTTAGAAGACATTGTTTCAAATTTCATCAGTAACCTTTGCTAGCCATGTGACTCTGGGCAAAGTCCTTTAACCTCACTAAACCTCAATTTCCTCATCTGTAAAATGAAGACAGTAATGCCTATAATACTTATCTTCCAGGGTTATTGTAAAGCTCAAATGAAATATCATGTCTAAGGCTCTTTACGGACTTTCAGGTGTTCGTATTAGTCTCTTCCCACTTCCATGTGACTGACTACTTGCTTAGGACCCTGACCCACAGTGACCATCACTGGGTTGATACCCTTATCCTCTACCCCAGGAGGAAATATTATATTTTTCTTAAAAAGTTTCACAGTGACTGGTTCTCTCTTCTCATCTCCCTTCTTTAAATTCACTTCTTCCCCCATCCCAGAAATTCACTAAGGCCAACTGATCCTGGTCTCCCAACAAGGGAGCAGAAATCCACAAAACTATGCAGAAGGGATGGGCCTTCTTTAATGCAATCAAAAGCATCTCTAAAACCCAGTTGAGGATAAAATAGGAGTGTACTTAGAAAATGCCAGAGAATCAAAAAAAGAAACTAATTGAGTCAGTTAATAGCTTTAACATGGTTGCAAAATATAAGTTAAATTTGTAAAAATCACCAGCATTTTAATGTACCACTAACAAAACCAGACAGCAAGCAATAAAAGAAATCATGTTCAGAGTAACGACAGAATGTATACATTATCTGAAAGTTAAACTCCTACAAACACAAATCAGCAGGCACTTATTAAGTGCCTGCTATGTGCCCGACACTGGAGATAGCAACACAATACCCTCAAGGAACTTAAAGCTCTATTTAATCACACACACACACACACACACACACGTTCTCCATAAGTAACTACAAAATACTACAAAAATCAAGGCAAATGAATAACTAAAGAAGTATAAAGTGACCATGATCAGGCTATGCAAATATAATAAAAAATATTACCCAAATTAGTGCATACATTTAATAATATAGTAAACAAATGACCAAGGAAATCCTTTTTAGAACTGGACAAAATAACAACAGTGTATTCCGAGAAGCAAACGATCTAAAATCTAGAAATCTGAAAAAAAGTGGGGGGGAATAAAGGGGGTACTGCATTAATAGACATCAAAATATAATATGAAGTCATAATAATCAAAACCATTTGGTAATCATTTAAACAAAATGCCTAAGTAGATCAATAGTCTTCAAAAACCAGAACCAAGTGAAGATGGCAGGTTAGCATCTGCAAAAGCCAAGAACAGAAAATTTCTAGGGGGAAGGCCTCTCTTTTTGACAATAACTACTGGGAAAATGAGAAAGCAGCTTGCAGAAATTTGATGTAGATCAGTATGGGAATATTTCTATGAACTGATAGAGAGACAGCGAAAGAGGCAGGAGAATATAGATTTTTTTAAAACTACAGTAATATGAATATATGAAAATATCACTGAATAGAAGCTGGATTCTAAGTATTTCAGACACTGGTAATGGTCCTAAAGAACAGATGATGAAAAATATACTCTCTCCCCTCTTGGCAGAGAGGGACGGAACTACGAGGGCTGAACGTTACGTACAGTGCTACGTGTAGTTACTTTATCTGTTGGGGTTTTGTTGTTTTTTGCTTAATTGGCAAGCATGCATTAAGCATCTACATCAGGCTCTCGGAACATCAAGACCAAAAAAAAACGCCCGACAGTGCCTGAACTCAAGGACTCTTCACTTCCCTGCATTTCTTTGTTACAAGGGAGGGTCCAATTTCCAGGCCCAGGTGGGAGGCAAAGGAGATAAATGCCTAGAACCAATTAATACAGGATATTTCCAAAATCTCAGTGCAGTTTTAAGCCTTTAAAGCCTAAAACTGCCCTAAGACTTTTGGGACATGCTGTATAAAATGAAAAGGTATCAATAAAACTGATTTTTTTTTTAAAGGTCATGAGCTCAAATGTGTGTAACTCCTCCTGGATGACAAAGTTCCTCGTTTGGGGTCACATTAATCCATCCAATGTGAGATACTCTTTTTTGCACATGGTACTTGACACATAGCAGGGGCTTAATAAATGTTCTTTGATTTACTGCTCATGCTTCTTGTCCCTTGTCTTCTGACAGCCTCATATATACCCATATATTCTCTTGGCACAGTGCAAACACATTCTTTGCAAGAACTTCCTCAAGGTAAGCATCTTATTCCCTCAGATGCTTCTCTCCTGGGTGTTTGATGCAAGAAGGGAATTGTTGGAAAAGCATGATAACATCATAACAAGTAAGCTTATGGAATGAAACTGGAGAGGAAGCTAAAGAGATATGCAAAAGAGCACGGGAGGCAGCACGATGCAATGGAAAAAGCACCAAATGTAACCCCAGATCCTGGGTTCAAAATCTCCCTCCGATACTTATGAGCTGTGGGTCCTTGGGCAAATAACTTCATCCAGCTGACTCTCAGTATCTTCATCTGCCTTATTTAATTGGGGAAGGGGGAAGAGAAGAAAGAGAGGATGGGAAAGATGGTTGCTGAAAAATCATCAACAAAAATATGGACTCTATTATTAGAGGATAATAGTGAAGAGAATTCAATGTTTTTTGCAAACGGGAGAGTTGAAGGAATTGGACTCTCAAGTCCCTTCCAACCAGTAGGTCTAGGATCCTATGTGTGACTCTGGGCAAGTCACTTCACTGCCCTGAGCCTCCTTTGTTAAATGAAGGAGTTGAACTAGATGGTTTCTGAAGTCCATTTCCAACTCGCTATCTATGATATTACTGAATGTACCCAAGCTATCCTTGGAAGGAAACTAGGGATTTGATTAGGTGGTGTGAGAATGCATGGCAAAAGTGGTACTGAGGTACAAAGGTACTGAGACAGGACGTGACGTGTCAGGGAATGGCTGGCAGGCCACTTTCATTGTGGGGAGAAGTGTAAGACATGGAGAGAAAAAGAAAATTAGACAAGAAATATAGGTGGGAATCAGAATGTTGTTATTAAGTCGAATCTGACTCTCTGTGACCCCATTTAGGGTTTTCTTGGCAGAGATCCTGGAACAGTTTGCCATTTCCTTCTCTGGCTCATTTTACAGATGAGGAAACTGAGGCAAACAGGGTGAAGTGACTTGCCTAGGGTCACACAGCTGGTGAGTATCGGAGGTCAGATTTGAACTCAGGTCTTCCTGACTCCGGGCCCAGTGCTCTAACCACTACAGTGCCACCTCGCTGCCCCAAGCAGATTGTGGAGGACTTTCAATGTCAAACCGAAGAGTCTGTATTTTATCCTGGAGGCTATAGGGAACTACTGAAAGTTCTTGAGTTGGAACCAACTCCAAAGGTCAGATTTGGGTTTTACAAATATCAATTTGGCAGCTGTGTGGAAGATGAGTTGGAAAGGGGAGTGACTAGGTGGAGAGACCGATCAGGAGGGCACTACAGTCATTCAGGCAAGAAGCAGAGGCCCTTTCCAATGTTAGCTTCTCGGGGACATGAAGAGGCTGGCCTCAATGGTCTCTGACAGAGGTACATTCTAATCTCTCATTCAATGATTCTCTTTTAGCTCTAGCTCAGAAGCCATCTCAAGACCAGCTCTCTTACTTTCCACTGTTATCATGCTATCTTATGAAAAGGACTGAATGTCTTTTATTAGCTTCTATCTGGGTAGGCAGAGCCTGTGTATTTGTTTATTAAGGATTTTTTTTTCCTCTCTTTTCTGATCCCCAAGTGCCACTCGATTTAATAAGCCAGCCTGCTCTTGAAATAGCATCACGTGACTATCAAGATTATACCACTCAGAACTATACAGAAGGTATGACTCCCCCACATGCCCACTGCCCCTGCTGGGAGACAAAGCTACTATGTAAGACTGTGTCAGTGGTCCATATGTGGTGATCCCTTTTTCCCTCTTCTAACAGAAACATGCACACCGCTTTATGCTCTTGAACCAGTGCAAGCTTTAGAAGCCAGTAACGACCAACAAGATGGTATGTGAACATTTCTTCATGGAGTCTTTTGAATTTTTCTCTCTGAGAGTTTTGCTTCACGGCCTAGTTGTATATGGGAGTCATCTGAATGGCATCAGTGATCACTGCATGTGGAGTGAGCCAACATGGTAGAAAGATAGTCTAAATCAGGGGTGGGCAACCTGCGGCCTTGAGGCCACTGGCAAAAGGCCACACGTTAGGATCTAGAAGGCCACATGTGGCCTCAAGGCCACAGGTTGCCCACCCTTGGTCTAAATGAACAGAATGGTGGGCATGCAGTTAGAAAGACCTGGGTACAAATTGGACCTCTGAAACTCTATAGCTTTGTGACCATGAGCAAATCACAACCTGAGATTCAGTTTCCTCATCTATAAAATGGGGATAGTATTTGAAGTACCTAGTTTAGAGGGAGGTTGTCAAGCTCAAATGCCATACACTGTTATTATTCTTGAAGCCCAGATTTTTAACTGTTGTGTCATGGGTCAAGGTTGGCACTTGCCATCCTCAGTTACCATGAGACATGCCAAGTAGATGGGAGACATGACTGCATCTGCCCAGAAGAATGTGTCCACTGGACAGGTTTTACCATAAAGGTAAAAAAAAAAAGTTTTGGAGAGAGAGAAGGGGTATCAGCCCAGACTTAGAAGGCAAGGAGACCTTTCTCTGGGGTGAAATAAGACCTCTGACACTTACTAGCCATGTGATAACAACAAAGTCAGCTTCCCTCTCTCTACTTCAGTTTCCTCATCTGTAAAATGGGAATAAGATCTGCAAGTAGCTGCTGCCCAACCACGTTGTAAGGCTCAGATGAGGTGCCATACTAATGCTCATTGCTAACTTCAAAGCCCTTCTAGCCCCTGGAGCATACACAGAAGCACTTGACCCAAAGCCCAAGGCCTCATATCCTCTGAATCCTCCCTCAGCAGTCAGAGTCTATACTCTTATCTGCTACCGTTTCCCAGCAACTCTTCTTATCTTCCCCCTCCCTAACTATACTTATCTTATAACCCTACACTGCTTCTGGTTCTACAAGGAAGGAACATATATTTGATGCCAAATACAAAGGGCAAGTAGCTCAACACCAACATTTCCAGTGATCCATCAGTTGATCAAAAAGAATGTAATAAGGCACCTACTCTGTGCCAGGCACTATGCCAGGCATAGGAGACACAAAGACAAAGGGATTCCTTGCCCTCAAGGAGCTTAAATTGTAACCAGGGAGACAACACGTACCCAATGGCCATGTACAAATACATCCAAAATGGATACCAAGTGATAGGCGCCAGAGAGCGAAGGCGGGGCTAGCAGTGCGGGTGGGGGTGGGGTGGGGGGGTGGATCAAGAAAGGCTCCTTGTAGGAGGTGCTCAGGCTGAATCTAACAGGTGGAGGTGAGAGGAAGGGCGTGTTCTCAGGCATGGGGGGCCAGCCAATACAAAGACACAGAGAAAGGAAATTGCAGACCACATGTGAGGCATAGTAAGAAGTCTAGATGAACTGTACCACATGATATGGGAGGGGCAGTAATGTATAGTAAAAGCTAGAAAGGTACATCAGGAGATTGTAAAAGGTTTGAAATGCTAAATAATTGAGTTTATATTTATTCCTAGAAGCAATAGGGAAGCCCAGGAGTTTATTAAGGAGAAACATGGTCAGATGTGCACTATAGGACCATCACTTGGGCAGCTGCATGGAAGAGGATGGATTGAAGTGGGGTGAGATTTGAGACAGAGACACCATTTCATCCACTGGTGTTCTCTTATGTTTTTCTTTCTCCAGTTGCAAGTACCTTCGCATCCTTCTTTACTGAACCATTACAAATAACTGACGACCAAGATGCGGAGAACCTGTGTTCAAGTGAGCATTTCTTCATTAAGCGCCTGGAATTTTTTGAGTGTTTTGATTCAGTCTAGTGCCTTATGGAAGTCATCCAAATTGCATGGGCAGCCTCTGCCTGGGGAGGGTGGCCTAATGATGCTATCAGCACGCTCACCCAGATTATCCCTTTAAAGGAGAGAGCAATATGACATGATAGCAGTCAGGAAGATCTGGGTTTTCAAATGTCACCCTGACACATCCTGGCTATGTGACGATAAGCAAAGTCACAAACTCTCTGAGCCTCAGTTTCTACATCTGTGAAACTACTACCCGGGGGTCCCTCTCTGATAGGGCTGTGAAGCTGAAATAAGAAAATACTTGTAAAACACTGGAAACCTTAAAGTGCTGTAAAAATAACTGGTGATGATGGTGGTGATGGCGATGGATGATAATTTTATCTCCCTGCTACCCTTCTCCCTCTGGCACTCTCCCCTACCACTGGGGTAAGAATAATGAAATAGTGGCTCAAAGAGCTGTGTATTAGCATGGCTGGACATGGGTCTTGTGTTTGAGACTAGGTACAGAACATTCTCTAGCCTTTTCACATCCAATATGGCTGTAATATACTTTCTGACCCCTTGCTCAAATATGCATCGACTCTCCTCCTATGCAGTGATCTTGTTCTCAGCCTAAATCTGGGGGTGGGAGGGAGGGGGGAAAGAGAGAGGGGAAAGAAAAGTGAGGCTCCAAAGAGCAAAAGTTTAGGTGTGGAACAATTAACTTATAAACTCCAAGTATACATTTCGAAGAATGAGAGTCTATGCAAAATCCATTCCTTGATGCGAATTCTCATCTGCCGTCCTCAATTCATGTAAGCTAGTGGCAGAGAGCATTTTGGGCCATGGGTACTCTATATTTCAATCCAACACAGCGGGGAGAATCCTCTCTACAACCTTCTATAGCTAGTGTAAACCAGGGCTTCTTAAACTTTTTCTGCTTGGCATCTCTTCAGAACTTCTTAAACTGTGGGTCATGACCCCATATGGGGTTGCAACCCACAGTTCAAGAAACACTGGTTATGGGGCAGCTAGGTGGCACAGTGGATAGAGCACCGGCCCTTGATTCAGGAGGACCCTAGTTCAAATGTGAGCTCAGACCAAAACACTCACTAGCTGTATGACCCTGGGCTAGTCACTTCACCCCAATTGCCCAGCCAAAAAAGAGAAACGCTGGATAAACCATTCATTGGTTACATTGTAAGGTTAAAACAATGGTGATAAGAAGGTTTGGCAAGAAGTTGGTGACAAATATTCAAAATTACCAAGATTTGAAAATAAGGATTTATACCCACTCTTGGTCACAGTGAACCTCACCTTATTTGTATATTGTATTTGGAGCTAATTGATAGTATCCATTTTTCCTCTCTTCTATAAACCCTCTGCAGTCTGACTTTCTATGTCATCATTCAATTGAAACTGCTGTCTCCAAGGTTACCAGTGATCTCTTGATTACAAGATCTAATGGCCTTTTCTCAGTTTTCATCCTTCTTGACCCGTTTGCAGCATCTACCACTGCCGGTCACCTTTTCCTCCTGGTTACTCTCAATCCTGGGTTTTCATGCCTCTGCTCTTTCCTCACTCTCCTCTTCCTTGTCTGCTCCATCTCTATCTTCTTTGCTGAATCTTTATCAGTGTTAACTGGGCTTATACCTGCAATGCTCCAGCCTTGGTCTTCTACACTCTATAGTCCCCCTCTTACCTGGTGTGCTGGTCATGGAGACGTATCTCAGATCTCTATGCACACTGTACAACTCTAGTCTCTCATCTTGAATGCCAGTCCTATGATACCTACTGGATATTTTTCCCCCAAGTCTTTTTTTTTTTTTTGTGTGGGGCAAGTGGGGTTAAATGACTTGCCCAGAGTCACACCGCTAGTGAATGTTATATATCTGAGGCTGCATTTGAACTCAGGTCCTTCTGACTGCAGGGCCAGTGCTCTGGCCACTGTGCTACCTAGCTGCCCCCCTACTGGATATTTTAACCTGGATAGCCCGTAGGCATCTCAAATGCCAAAGGTCCCAATCTACTAACGTACTAACTTTCTCCTCAAGCCCACCCCTCTTCCAAACCTTTCAATTACTGTCAAGGGCACAGACATCCCTCTAGTCCCACAGCTTCCTGACATCTTCATCCTCAACTCTTCACTCTTTCATCCTATATATCCCTGCAAAGAAAACATAGATTGAAGATAATACTACTAATGTGACCAAAGGTGTGTAAAAAGAAAAAAATCAGAGTTGATCCTCCTATGCCTAGTATATAAGCCACTCATGGGCCACATTGTGAGATTAAAACAATGATGATAAGTGGTTGCCAGACCTTGTCATTTCTCTCTCTACAACATTTCTTCCACTTCTCTCTACTCACACAGCCATCATCTTAGTCCATAACCTCATCAACTTCCGCCTAGGCAGAAGCAGCAGCTTCCTGTTTTCCTCCCTTCAAGTCTCTTGCCTTTCTAGTCCATCCTCTCACCCAAGTGCCAAATTGAGTTGGCCAATATGCCAGTCTAACCATATAACTCTACTGCTCAAACTCCAGGGGGTCCCTAGCACTTTCAGGATTGGATAGAAACTCCTCTGTCCTTTAGAGATCTTCCCAACCTGGCCCCATTCTTAGCTTTCCAATCTTCTTATCCACTACTTCCCTCTATACTCTATATGATCTAGACATACTGGTCCGCTTGCCATTCCTCACACATGATGTTTCATCTCCCACATCCCCGTCTTTGCATTGGCTGTCCCTCAATCCCTGGAATCCTTTCTCACCTTTGCCTCTTAGTGTCCTTGAAGGATTTGCTCCGACGCACATTCTGAATGAAGTCCGTCACAGACTCTCCATTTGCCTTTCCCTCTACCCGTTCCACATCTATCTTGTATATACTTATTTATGTAAATGTTGTCTCTTCTATTAGAATATAGGCCACTTCAGGGCAAGGGCTGTTTTCACCTTTTCTTTGTAATAAAGCCAATAGCAAGCCATTAAAAAACTGAACTATTGTTCATGAAGCAATGTGAGTCTCCTACAAAAACCCTCATACTTGCAGACAAACTTGGAAATGGATTTTTCCAATCCAGAAGTTTAGTGGATTTCAGACCAATATGTCAAAAAATATGAAAATACAAGATGAAAACCTGCCAGCCAAATTTCAACATGACCTTTGAGTACTTGGTAGATGGAACTGAAAAATAAGTATCATGATTTAGTCAGCACATGCCAGGATGCACTTTTTCCTTTGGAATCTCCGAATCTCTGTTGATTTATCTTTATAAACTATGAGTGCCATTGAAATCCAATAATCACAATCAACTGAAGTTAGAACCAGACCTTTGAATCATTCTATCAGAAGGCATTTAACCAAGATTTTCAAAATAACAAAGCTGACGCAGGTGTACTGTCTGCATGAAAAGCTATTAATTATGCTTTTGTGAGAACAAGGGTTTTCAAAACACTGTTGATAAAATAAAAACCTTAACTATTTTTTCATGCCATCCCTTTTAATTTTCTATTTTTGTACATTCTAATGATGTACATAATTGCATTTGAATGTAATTTTTATGTATGGGATGCATGCTTAAAATATTTTCCTCACAAGGGTGCATGATCAGAAAAATCCAGAGATGGGCACTACCAATCTTCTACTGCTCATAAATGAACAGCAATCCCCCTCGATCCCCCTACCACAAACCAACAAATGCCTTAATTCTGCCCTCTTGACACACAAACAACACTTTAGTAAAATCTCTTGGATCTAAAATGGGAGTGGTGGAGGTGGTACAGATTGACTTAGGTTGGCCATGATCTTCACTGAGTTTCTCTATCAAAATGATCTTAGGACTTCTTACAAAAGCCTTAATGGGAAAGTATTTTCTTTCCTAAAAATTGAACATCATCATTAGTTGCTGTGCAGGTTTACTAAATCAAGTGCTTGCCTACTATGTGAAACAAAAACAGCTGAGAATTTCCTAACAGGAAACAGCATGAGAACCATTCTCCAAGATTTTCCTTACAACCTGAGAGACAGAAAATATTCAAGGCAGGCCTCTTTTTGGGATTTCTCTAGGGACTCAGGCTGTGTGCCAAAGCCAGCTGCTCCACTTAGCCTAGCCAAAATACAAAAACAAACAAACAAAAAAAAAACACCATAAAAAAGAAAAAGAAAAGAAAAAAAGAGAAGAGGTAGAGGAGATAAGAAAAGAGAAAAGAAAATGACAATTTCTTTTGCAATACATGGTAATTCCCCAAACAAAATGGGGCTAAAAAATGAGGCAGACAGCAACTTTGCTCTCCATTGGTAGAACTGAACAGTATTTTTCCTCCTATCAGATTTCCTAAAGGTTCATAAGTTGGAAAGATCTCCTAAATAAGGTACTAATTAGTCCAGAATGCACGTAAAGAATCTTGGACAAGTAGTGTCCCCTTTCCACCCCCAGTGGTTTGAGCTCTTGGCTCCAATGGGCCCTTCGGTTCCAAACCATCTGCCAGCCAGGTGGTTTTGTACTTTGGTTGACAATTTCCTAATCCCTACAAAGCTTTTAAAAGGCCCAACTCCAGCCCCTGGCTTTTGCCACACTTCAGACTGTGTAACTACAGGGGGAGCCGCTGCCTGTTCACTCCTTGTAGTGCTTAGAGACACAGAAGCAAACTTGGGTGATTTGGGAAGCACAAAGCATGACTGAGGTAGGCAGCATAAAGCAGGCCTGCAATCAACTTTGAGACAAAAGCAGTTGAAGGGAATGGGCAGAGAACATGAGGCAATGACTTGTGTTGGGGGGCAGGATAGAAACCGACCCCAAGATACTGCAAGGTAGAAGAGAGATCAATGAAGAGCCAGGCAGGGAAGGAACTCAACTGGAATCTGGCTTAGAGAAAGAAGCCATTTGGGAGCATCTTAGGATATCTAATTAATCTTGTTAACTGGATACTAAGGTCAGTTCATACAATCATAGCCTTAGAGCTAGCTGGAAGGGACCTCAGAGA